GTATCCATGTAATCGGTTGAAACATTAAACAGTTATCATGCTGATTTGACGAATGATGTGATATCCAACTTAATATTATTTGCTGACATGGATATCTTAATCTAAAATTAGTTTTTATGTATTGTGATTTTATTAGAAGAAAGAGCTAATGCTTCAATCGGTTACCCAAGTACTTAAATGTTTAAAATTTTACATCTTAAGTACCAAAATGAAAGTTTTAAAAGTACGTTACTTGAAATAAAAATCAAATTAAAATACGTTGTTTTTTCATGCAATTTATCACAGTAAAACGGTAACTCTATTAAGGCTATTTGGCAATTGTTGAATGGTTCGGTACAGAATGATTAAGTGGTCAAAATGATTAAGTGGCTCTCATGATATAGTGTAAAATGAAATATAATTGTTTGGTAATTGTGTACAATGAAATTAGGGCTCTTAATGGTTAAGAGAGATTAATGATACAAAATCATCCAGAGGGTTTAAAACCATTAAGAGACAGATTTTTTTTACCAAACAAGATTCATCTTTTAACGATTCAAAAGTTGTGTCTTAATGAAACTATTAAAAGATAAAAAAACAATATAAGAGATTGCAACATGTGCAATTTTCAAATTTTGGTCTTCGAACCGATCCTTGAAAATCAAGCTGCCTAAACAAGTTCCGATAAAGACAAACCAATTACAGCAAATCCCTAGGTGTCTATCACTCAATCAAATGCAATATTTTATTAAAAAATATTATTTCACAATTTGTTAATAATTATTTTAAATATTTGATTATTAATAAAAACACTTTCATACGGCTATTATCATTTTTTATTACCATATTTCTTGATTTTATAAAATTCGAAATTATTTTTATCTGGATAAAAATAATTATGATCATAATCAAAATCATAAATCTGAAACGTTCAATCTCATCAAAAAAAATTATAGATAGACTGAAACTACAACACCAATCATTTTTCGCTCCATCTACATTCACCGTCTGTTGACCGGTAAATAATAGGCTTGCATCGTATCCACTCTACAATTTAACATCGTTCATTGATTTTGTATCTGATTATCTTGTAAATCATGTATGATATCTCGACAATTGAATTAAACCTTATACGTTTTGGTTTGTTTATCTGTTTGTAAAGTTTTTTTTATCTCACTCTATAAAACTTGAAACCACGCTGCAAAAAAAGAAAACTGGTCTTCTTCTCTATTATTTTCCTATAATACACATCAACTTCAACACATTTTAACCACAAGGGTGGTGTCTGATTGGTTTGAGCTTGACTCCAAATGTCAAAAGTACCAGGAGGTCCTAGGTTCAAATCCAAGGAGGAACAAAAATCCCCTTGTGACCACGGAGGTTCAAATGCGGTGACTCTGGGCTATCTGCAAAGCAGGTGGTCGCCCTAAGATTAGTCGGCTTACATAGCGGGTTGGATATCCAGTTTAATCAAAAAAAAATCAAACATATTTTTGTGACATTTTCAATGTTTAAATTTGATCTAAATAAAAAAAAAAAGCATATAACAACCTTTCATTAGCAATCATACAAGAGAGATCGTGTCTAGTGATATGGATTATTATCTAGAAATTTTCTTAATTTTGTTTTATTAAGCGTTATTCTGGTATTTGATTATTAGACTAAGGGACTGTTTATTTACCTCTTAATAGTTCCATTAAGAGGCAATCTCTGAATCTTTATGAGATGAATTTTGTTTGACAAAAAAAAAGTCGGTCTTTTGATGGTTCCAAAACGCTCTAAATAATTTTGTATCATAGGTCTATCTTAATCATTTAGCACCCTAATTCCTTTGTAAACGGTTACCCAACAATTATATTTCATTTTGCACCATATCATGAGAGCATTTTAATCATTCTGACCACTTAATCATTCTGCACAAAACCATTTAACAACTGTCAAACAACCCTTAAGATTTTCATTAAACTAATTATACCTTTGCAAACAAAATTACTAAATGAAAAAAAAAGTATTTGAGATATCTTGTCTAGACATCAAAATAAAGTATTTTAACCATAATGGTGGTGTTTGATTGGTTTGAGCTTGACTCCAAAGGTCAAAAGTACCAGGAGGTCTCATGTTCAAATCCAATGAGGAATAAAAATCCCCTTGTGGCCACGGAGGTTCAAATACGGTGACTCCGTGCTATCTGCAAAACAGATGATCGTTCTAGGATTAGTCAACTCGCATAACGGGTTGGATATCCAGGTTGATTAAAAAAAAGTATTTAAAAATATATTATCTAAAATAGTAACCAAAATAAAACAGGTTCTATGTTGATGCAACTTAAGAGTGGATAGATGTTCTTTATTGGCCCATAGCCCATTGACATGATTTAATAAGACCACCTCCCAAATTAAGTACTTGTTTGGATGTTCTTCTATTAATTTGTCTATATGAATTAAGCTAAATTGTTGTTTGTTTGTTTGTTTGTTGTGTTGAATAAGCCTGAATAATAAAAATGACTATTTTACCCATACAGATCCACCATCACTTGTATCAAACTTGTGTGAAAAAATAAGCACCTAAATATACCATCATTCAAACCAAAACTTCTCCATCATTCAAACCAAAACTTCTGAACATAGATCAAAGCATAAATGATAACATAAACTTCAGATCTACATTTGAAGCATATAGAAGGAAAACATATCAAAGCATACTATCAAATCTACATTCTTCATTCTAATGACCCAACCAAAAATCGGGGTTATCTCCAAATTGAGTACTGTCTTCGGGCATGTAGCTTAATTGGCAAAGGGACAAAGTGACTTTACTCGAATACACAACCGGTTAAAATTCAAATCCTGTGGAAGATGGGTTTGAACCCTCCGCTAGCCTCAACCACCGAATCAACTCTAAAATTTCTCCTCTGGTTCCTAGAAGGCGGTGTGTGGGGCCATTTGGAATTGTTGGTAATCAAACTTTTGGACAAATCTCCAGATGTAGTACTTAACCAAAAATGCTATAAAAAAACACTTTTGAGAGAAACCTATATCACCACAAATACAACTTGCAATGAAAATGAATGAGTACCCAAAAGAGAAATAACAGAGACAACAATAATCTGTAAAACCCACAATCCAACTTGCAACGAAAATGAAAAGAAGACCCATTTCTCTGGTTCACCCATGTCACAAGTTCCTCCACCATTTTTTTTGTTTATTCCCAAGTTTTAAGCAGCGACAGGGAAGGAGGAGGGCGGTTACGGGAGGTAGGAAGGAGGAGGGCAGTTACGGGAGGTAGGAGAAGGAGGTAGGGAAAGTCCACCGTTTCTGCATCTCATTACCTTATCATCGTTGTATAAGGGTCTGTTTGTTAGCAGCTTAATAAGGTTAATGGGACTCGCAGCTTGTTCGGTCAACTATACATGATTGTTTGGTAGTGGTTTAAGCGGGGGAGTTTTATGTAGAAAACCAAGTTTTTTTTCTAAACATGTCCTTCCCAATTAAAAAAAACATGTTCATTCCATATATGAAAACCCTCCCAAACAAAAACCTTCTCAATCTATACAGACAAAGTAATCCAGGTATACAACTTTATCCATACAGAACTTAATGGAAAACCAATCAAACAGCCCCTAAGTATTTCATGCAAGATTTAAGCAGTTATCATTTATTTTCTTCGTGTAGCTATCCTCAATATGTATGCATTACTAATTGACAGAATGTGCTTGTGCTTTACTTCTGGGTTGCTGTGTAAATGCATCCCAAGAAGCTTGAGGTTTCAAACTTCAGGTTTCAGTTTGCATCTTTTAAGTGAATGCATTTATGGCTCGTAGGATGTCACTATCAATTTTCTAGGACATTGCATCCAACGTGGTAGCCGTTCTTAAGTTCGATCCGTGTTAGGTGCTATCAGTTTCTTTTAGGGTCATACTATCATGCATATCAGCTATAATATCTAAAGTTGACCACGAGTGTGTTTTGCATGACCATAAGGATTGATTAAACCATAGATATCAAATCCCACGAGTTATTCAATAAAACACCATGATCTCAATATACATATACAAGAGTTAGGATCATGTGAGAAATTTATGCTTTCGTGAGAGGTGAGAACAAGTGAAGATACCTTATATTGTGTGAATGCTACCCTATATAAAGGTATCTTCACAGTTCTCACAACAAATCACGCAATGTAATGATCCTCTTCACTTTTTCTCAAGTTTTCACAAAAAGGGTGTTCTCATTGGAACCTAACACAGTATAAATATACATTTACATATACATATATGGAAGCATATTGTTGATCTTCCGGTTTTGCAAGGGATTTCAATCTAAAACCTCAACACTTGTGATGCCGTTAGTAGGGTGCGCTCGCGGGACAGGATAGAACAGTTGTTCAGCGTTTGGTAATACAAAACTGGACAAGCCAGAACAGATGACATGATCAATTTACCTTCAATGAGTTATTTATATCTTTTATTTATTTTGATTAATTTATAAAATATATTATTAGAAAGTTTTCATAAAAACAATTATAATGACACCAAAATAACAAGTTCATGTAATTTTTTATGCCTTTTCTATATTATTTTATTATTATTAATATTTAATAAATTACATAAATCAACCAAAATATAGAAACCATATAAAAATAATATTTTGAGAACAGTTTAGTGAAGGTTTAAAGAGTATAAAATACGATAAATAAAATTAAAATAATGAATAAACTATGAAGAGGGAAGCATATTTGATGTTTTAGAAGAGAATTAAGTTTTATTTTGAGATTGTATTAGTAAAATATAAGTCTGTTTCACCTTGTTCCATGGGATGGGGGTGGAACACGCTTGTTCCACTCTATTCCACAAAAGTCCTGTCAAATATGGAGCAGTGGTCCATGTTCTTTTCTATCTTATCTAGTGTACCAAACGCACCATTAAGGTGATTTCTCCTCCTAAATAGCATAAGAAACCGACTAGCAGGACTTATGTGATAAAGGAGGCATTTTCATCAAACACTACTCATTTGTGGGAGATCTTGAAACTATTTTCCTACACATAAAAGCCAGTGGCTGCCGTTCTGCTGTATCAGTAAAGATACATCTAACCCATATCTTAAAACCAAATTCAAATCATATAACTACACATTATGATTGCAATTAACATGGAGTCAGGAGTTCGGTTCTTGACTTCTATATAATATAAATCAGCAACAACCCTGTGGATTTGTGGGTATATCACCCACGTGAAGCAACATTGGCTGCACTAACCTGCTTAGCCGGATGCAGCCTTGGATATGATAGGGACTCCATGATGGGTGGCAAGCAGTAACTCATTCATTCTAGCAATCTGATGAAGTAATTGATGCATCCTCTGCAAACCCATTAATTTAATCGTCAGCAATCTTGGAAATTGACGGCTGGATCGAGATGCAATGCACCGAAGATGCATGTGAAATCATGTTAGACATTTTAACAAACACCTGGTGAACAATGTATATAGTCCAGTTGGGATGATTAGAAAAACAAACAAACCTCGTCTTTCTCCTTAATAACGTTGAGAAGTTCATCGATTGCCTCCCTCCGTAACCGCTGCCGGCGCCGGAATCTCAAATAAAACAGTAGCAGCATAACCATTGATCCAACCAGGGGGAGGTTAAATAATCGAAGTACACCTCCTCTGATCACAGAAAAATTCCAAAGGCACGAAAAAATGCCGCCGGGTAACTTGAAATGTGAAACCCACCACTTCACTGCAACATATCCCCCCATTGCCTCCGGTTTCAGCCCACCTGAGACCGGGGGTAACGGTCTGGCTCGTTCTTTATATGTTTCTCGATCATCATTATGATGGTGAAGATTAAGGCCTTCGTGATTGTTCGGAGGGAATACGATGGATGTCCAGTGATCGTCATGCATCGGTGGCGTTGACCATCTTCCTCCGCCTCCATGTGGATCTGATAATAATGGAGATTGAAATTGATATCGTAACCGGTCAGAAACAGAAGGTAATTGGCTTCTTTCCCGTGCAACTAATGTATTTAGAGATAAAGTTTCAGCTTTTGGTTCTTCATCGTCCGCCATTGTTGAGCCGAGGAAGGTTCTGACGGAGTTTGTACCACTCTGTAATCTATTGTCATTATGGATGAAAATTTCATTATAGTGTCTAAACTATATATAAATTACAATATCAGTCCTTTACTTTTTTAATCCAAATACTTTTCAGAAATTGCAAAGATCTCTTTCCAGATTTACATATTTAGTTATTAAATTTAACATTACGTAGCATGTTGTACAGTAAGATAAAACAACTGTTCAATGTTTAGTAAGATAAAATTGGACGGAACAAAACAAGTAGAATGACAAATTTATATCTAATGAGTTGTTTATTTTAATTAAATTATAATAGAATAATTACTTTTTATAATAAAATATATTATTTGAAAGTTTTCGTCAAAACAATTAAAATAACACCAAATAAAAAGTTTATGTAGTTTCCAATTTTTATTTTTATCTCTTTTCCACATTGTTTTTTATTATTAATATACAATAAATTACATAAATTAATAAAAATATAGAAACCGTATAAAAATAATATTTTGAGGCAGTAAAATGAATATATTTAAGAAACATATAATACAATAAATAAAAGTTAAAGAATAAATAAAATGTAAAAAAGAGACTTATTGATGTTTTAGAAGAGAATTAAGTTTATTTTGAGGTTATATTAGTAAAATATAAGTCTGTTTCATCTTGTTCCACCCTATTCCATGGGCTAGGGGTGGAACAAGGCTATTCCACTTTGTTCCACTATGTTCTTGTTTGTTCTACATAAAAGTAATGCCAAACATAGGACATGGATTTCTATCATGTATTGTCATGTCCTGTCCAGTATACCAAATACACCATAAGAAAACAATCAAATGTATAACATACATCAACTTTCCAAAATGCCAAAAACGTGCATAAATGTGCATTTCGTTAGAACTCATATGCAACATCTCAAATGCAACAAAGCTTGCCAATCCCTGTTCACAACTCTATGTACACAGTACATAACACACTTTTTGAAGTTAAAAGCCAATTCTGATAAATGGCACAAGAGTGACAAGTAACAAATTCACGACCATGCCAAACTTTGCATAACTGTCCCAAGTTACAAAGGCATCTCACACATACATGAGAAACTCCTGCACAAGCATGTCAAGTTAAATAAAAAGGAACTTTGCATAGTTGTGTAGAAAACATAGTGTCGTTTCAAATTTTCTGTACGAGTTGTCTGATCATGTTTCAGCCCAATATCTCATGTTTGCATCATTCATCCTCATTTTACTCTATACAAACAATCATAACATGATTAAATACTAATATTACATTTTAAACACGACTTTAAACAAAAAAAATCATGCAATGGTCGTGTTCTATCTTCTGATCATACATTAGCAACATGTATCAGCAATTTTCTTCCACTAATAGCCTTAAGGCCTCCACAGTGACTATTTGCATAGTATTTACTCCTTGATCACAACCTGCTATCAAACAGACAGTAAAACATAGTTTAGCATAAAGACTTGCTTCAATTTTTGCATAGCCCTCCTGTAACTTGCTTGAACTTCATTGCCTTCATCCTACTCCAATTCTTGCTTCTCCTTCAGATGGCTTAGTGCACAAAATTAGTAAAAAGACTGGCTGGTGTTGAGCCTCCAGTAACTGTTCACTCGCCGACCATTATAATACCGTTCCATGACGAATCCACAAATTTAGGCTAGCATTACATAATATTACAATCCCGTTATGTCTCCATGAATTCACAAATTTAGCTTTTGTCACCGACCATTTCCTCAGTTTCCAAATTTTACATAATAGGTCCTTGATTTCAAGTTTTACACTTTTGGCTTTTATTTATTTCATTTTGGTACCATAAGTGCTAGATTTTATCACAATTTTGAGTGTCATGAAACACATTTATATAAGGAACACGGTTATCGGTCCTATAAATTTAAAAGTATTAGAAGAGTATTCGCGTAATGCAACGAGACATATCTCGATTTTAATGTTTTATTTTATTATTTGTCTCTGTCGATATTATAATATAATTATATATGTTTTTAAGAAAACAATAATGATTTTATTTTCAAAGAAAATATAAATTTGAAGACATCATAAAAAAATTTATCAATGTTAATATTTAATCAACTATTTAAAAGTTCTCATTTTTTATGTAATTCTTTTTTTATTATTATTATAATTTAATTTAAGTTTAATAACGAAATAATTTATTTTTTGTTTAATAATATAACATTTTATAAAAATAATAATTAAGTATTCTGTTAGAACTCAATGATTATCCTAATTATATTTTAGATTTTTTATATTTAAAATGAGATATTTATCCTGTATTTGATTATGTTTATCTGCAGTTAGTTATACGAATTCAGATATAGAGCTTTAATAAGTTGTACTTACGCACAATCTACTTGTAATATTGAGTTTTAAGTAATATACATTAATAAATAGTACTTTACACAAACAAAGTGGTTTTTAAAAGTTTTTGTCAAATACTTTATAATATAGTATAGACTAAATACTTTATTATAGCAATTGCTGACGTCCTTACATACCAGGTTCGTTGTTATGTATTCGTGATCATTTTAAAAATACTACATTCAATTAAAAGTTTGATCGAAATAAATTACTATTTTATCTTGTAGTTTTATACGGTAGTTGAGATGACTCGTGCTACGTCCCATTTTCTACTTTGTAACATAATGATTTTATTCTTAAAAAAAACATAATTTTTTTTATTAACCTAGATATTCAACCCGTTATACGAGCCGATTAATCCCAGGATGACCACCTGCTTTGCAGATAGCCCGAAGTCACCGCATTTGAACCTCCATGGCCACAAGGGGATTTTTATTCCTCCTTGGATTTGAACCTGAGACCTCCTGGTACTTTTGACTTTTGAAGTCAAGCTCAAACCAATCAGACACCACCCTTGTGGTTAAAGCATAATGATTTTAAAACCATGCATTAAATAAAACGTGACAAAGTTGTGAGAAAAAAATAATCCAACTTATTTTGTTTAAGTTAACATATTATATCTTACAGAACCAGTTAGATTAATTGACCGGATATATAATTATATATACAAAATCTTTGACTTATAACTTGTTTAAATAATTAAACTTTGTTAAAATCAGTAGGTTTTCAGTTTAAATCCTATCTTTTTTCTGTTACGTGTTTAGTTAGGTAACGTTTGGAACGGAGACATGATTGGACATGACTGCTGGACAGGACAAGAGCGTATGACTGGACATGACTAGACTGGACAGAACAACTGTATGTTTGGTATTTGGTACGAATGAGACAGAACTAGACAAGTTATCCCCAAAAATTATTTGATGATTTTAAATATTATATAATAATTATAATTAACATAGATAAATTAAATAATTAAAAATTTAATTTATAAATATTTTTACATAATTTTCATATAAATAAATACATACATATATAATGGTACCAAATTTGAATGAAAAATTTAATATAATTGATGGTAGTATTAGTAGTGGTACTGGAGGTGGTTTTAATCATGGTGGAGGTGGTGGTGGTCGACGTGGTTTTGGTTATGGTGGAGGTGGGTGGTGGCTGACGGTAGTAGTGACAATGGGCAGTGGTGGTTATAGAGGTAGAAACAGTGGTGGTTGGTGGATGATGGTGGTTATAGAGGACGTGAAGATGGTGGATTGTGGTGGTGGTGGCAGTTGAAAATGGTGGAAGAGGTGGTTGTGGCTAATGTAGTGAGGATAGTGGTGGCGGTGGTTATGGTGGAGGTGAGGTGGACGGATCCAGAAAATTTTTCATACAGTGGCACCATATAATTAATATAATATAATATATATCTAAAAATTAATTACAAAAAATATGGCTTTTATAGTACCGATAAACAACTCCTAAACTTGTACCCGACGCGTCTTCATCTTTTGAAAACGGTCAATATATACCCAAAAATAATTACAAAAAGTATGTTGAGAAACAACTCATAAATTTGTCCTCAGCGTGTCTTCATCTTTTGGAAATGATCGATGACATCTTCGTTTGTAACATTACTAAGGGATTCCTTTTCTATGGCGCAAATGAGGGCAGAATTCAAAAAATCATCACCAATTCGATTACGTAAATCTGTCTTGACAAGTTTCATCGCCGAAAAACATCTTTCAACCGTAGCAGTTGCAACAGGCAAATCATCTATCCCATGATTCGCACCTTGGTCTCTGAATAAGTAACAAGGCAAACAATATGCTTTATCTACTTTTACACTGTATTCCAACCACTGAAATTGATCAAACCAAAAACAACAAACCGTCTTCCTTTAGCCCCTATAACTTTGGTTGGAAAGATGTGACCTCGTGGTTGACAAGGACCCCTTACCAAGTATTTCCGTCTAATTTCGTCTCTTTGATTTGGGTTATAACTTATAATTTTTGGTCTTTCTGATGGATCCCAAGGAAGATCATTAACATCAATCACATTGTTGGATGCATCATTATTACCGGTTGATGATGAAGCCTTTTGTTTCAAATATTTTTCCATAGTGAATGAGTTATGTAAATCTAAGTAATGAAAGAAATAATAAGTAATCAGTAACTAAACRTCATCRACAATTCAATTTTATCCTCAATAATAATAACTAAACATCATCAACAATTCAATTTTATCCTCAATAGTCAGTATTTGGGTTAACAGTAAGTCAGTAATACAATGTCATTATCTCACAGTCAAGAGTCAACATTCAACAATTCAATTTTATTCCATCATCAATTCAATTCATCATCAAAAATTGACTTAAGTAATCACTGTAATCAAGTAAGTAATCAACTAAAGGTCTAAAATTAAGAGTAAAAATTGATACCTAAAATGAGTAAATCTGAAAATAGAGTTCAAAACATCAACTCATTCGGTCATTCCAATCGATGAATCGTTCCATGTAACTCATTCCGAGCGGAGAATCGATGACTCAGTGAGTACCGAGTCTTCAAGACTCGTTCCAAGGATGAATCGAATCTCGTTGTCGGCTCGTTGTCGCTCACAGCCTCACACACTCGCACTCGCACCAGGTCGCRTCRTCTTCTCACAATCTCACTCGCAATCGCACGCACCAGGCCACCAGCAGSTAAGGTTAGGGCTTTATTTTTTACTTCTTTAGGAATTAGGATTTAGGCCCTTAGTAGTTACCGATTTAGGCTTTAATCTTGGACTGGACCAGTGGACTGAGTTTTATTTTATTTGGGCTGGTTGGGCTTACTAAACTTATGTTATTAGATTAATCAATTTGTTGGGCTTACTTATCTAATTTATTTGGACTTTATCTTGTTTGGGTTTTAGATTTAGTTGCACTATTTGAAATTCATAAAAAAAATACGATAGCACCTTTCAAAACGATACGGTAGCACCGTTAACAAACCTAAAATTTTTACCCTTCGGTGGCTAAATAATACGGTGGCACGTGCCACCCATGCCAACCAAGTAGGTCCGCCCATGGACGGTGGTGGTCGATAGTCGACGGTAGTTGTGGAGGTTGTGGAGGAGGTTGTTGAAATAGAGGAGGAGTTGGAGGCGACAAATGGATGGTGGTTGTCGCGGTGGCAATGGAAAGTGGTGGTCGATGGTCGACGGTGGTTGTGGAAGTCATGGAGGAGGTTGTTGTGGTACATGAGGAGTTGGAGGTGGCCAACGGTGGTGGTGGTCAGTGGCCAGTGGTGGTTGTAAAGGTGGCAATGGACAGTGGTGGTCAATGGTCGACGGTGGTTGTTGTAGTAGAAAAGGAGTTGAAGGTGGTGAACAACGGTAACGGTGGTGGCAATGGACGATGGTGGTTGGTGGTCGACTAGTAATATTTTAGCTTACGTCTCAATCTTGTCCCATATTGTTCCACCAAAACCTCTTTTGTCTCATGATCTCTCACCTTGTCTCTATCTCATATCACGTCAAACGTGGAACAATAAGTTCTTTTTCTGTCACATACTGCATCAAACGTGGGAGAATAAGTTTTTTCCCCGTACCATGTACCAAACGCAGCCTTGTTAGTGATCCATTAACAAACAAACATTAAAAAAAAATTCAAAATAGATTATATAATTCTTAATTTCGGGTTTTCAAAATTTTATCAACAAGTTTTCTGTACATAATACATGATTAGCTTTTATCGAAACGAGATCTGAATTCAAACGTAGTCTAATGCGTTCCTTTTTTGAATTATAATTTTCTTTTTGAAATTAGCTAAAAGACATAACAATGTTAGGTTTATTCACATCTTTCAATCGTTTTATATTTTGTATTACTTATGTCGTTGTCATCTCTTTTTGTCTCGTCACTACTTTTGTAGCACACGTTTTTTGTCTTTCGATACTATATTTTGTGGCACACCTTTTTTATAAAATATATTATATTTTTATCAATCTTGTGGTAGTTGGTACTCAGAGCGGCTAAAAATCGGTCTCGGGTGGAGCCTGGCCTACATCGGTCCCGATCCCAAACAGTAACAATTTGGACTGGTCTCGGTCCCTTTGAAAATACTAAGGTCCAATTAAGGATACTTGTAAGTTGTAACCAGTCCCGGGCCGGGTCCAAACCGGTCCTATAAAAAACATTTTCTTTTTATATTTTTTAAATTTCTTTTTGATAAATTTTAATTTTTTAATGTTATTCTAATACACTTTAAAATATCTAATTAGGTCAATCAAACACATATAAAAAATACATTTAAAAATTACATTTTATTATAGTTTTATAATTGATTTTCAAACAAATACACTTAAAAATTATGTTTTATTGTAAATTTGTAATTTGTAATTTGATTTTCAATCAAGTATGCGGAAAGCCGTATTCCATGAAAGTCGTATGTACAGCTTGGAGGGAGATGTTTCATATCTTTCGAGATCCACCCTACAACATGCGGTAAACAAGCCAAAATAAGTGATTTTAGCCCTTATAAAAAGAAAACTGATTCTTGAACCCCTTTCACGCTCATGTCACGTCGAGGTATTGCAGCAGGAAAAACTGCAAAATCAGATCCAATTTATCGTAATCGATTAGTTAACATGTTGGTTAACCGTATTCTGAAACAAAAAAAAAAAATCGTTGACTTATCAAATTATCTATCGAGCCATGAAAATGATTCAACAAAAGACAAAAACAAATCCACTATATGTTTTACGTCAAACAATACATGGAGTAACACCTGGTATAGCGGTAAAAGCAAGACGTGTGAGTGGATCGACTCATCAAGTTCCCATTGAAATAGAATCCACACAAGGAAAAGCACTTGCCATTCGTTGGTTATTAATGACATCCTGAAAACGTCCGGGTCGAAATATGGCTTTCAATTAAGCTCCGAATTAGTGGATGCTGCCAAATACTTAAAAAATATGTTTTACTGTAAATTTGTAATTTGATTTTCAGTCAAATACAGTTAGAAAGCTAGAAATACATTTAAAAATACACTAAGTAATGTTAATATTTCATAGTACTATTAAAACAGTTCACCAATAACATAATATCTTAATAATAAAATTCTGTGTAAAGTTTTCATTTTATGTGTAAACTTTGCCTATTTTTCTTTTAGCCTCTTAATAGTATAAATCCATACTATATTATAAAAAATTTGACAAGATTCTTAAAAACTATTTTTATGTATGAAATATTGGTTATTGATGTATATTATTTAAAATTGAAATTACAAATAAATTGTACGTAAATACAATTTATTAAGCTCCATTTTTGAATTCATGTAACTAAGGGGTTGTTTGTTTACCCATTAGTAGATCTATTAAGAAAAATCTCTGAATCGTTAAGAGGTGAATCTTGTTTGGCAAAAAAAAATCTGTCTCTTAATGGTTTTAAAACCCTCTAAATGATTTTGTATTATGGGCCTCCGTTAACCATTCAACGCCCTGATTTTGTTGTAAATAATTACCAAATAATTATATTTCATTTTGCACTATATCATGAGGGCCTCTTAATCATTCAACATCAAACCGTTCAGTAACTGCCACACAACCCCTAATTCCAGATAAGTATAATCAAATACATGATAAATATCTCATTTTAAATATAATTAGGACAATCATTTGGTTTTAACATAATACTTAATTATTATCTTTATAAAAAATTATATTATTAAACTAAAAGTAAATTACTTCGTTACTAAACTTAAACTAAATTATAAAAAAAATTAAATAAAAGAATTATATGAGAATTTTTAAATAGTTAATTTGATACTAATATCGATATATATATATATATATATTAAATTTATATTTTATTTAAAAATAGTAATATTATTGTTTTCTCAAAATCATATAAAACTGTATTGTATCAAAAGAGACAAAAAATAAAATAAAATTTTAAAATTAAGATATATCTTATTACATATGAAGGTATTGGTTTTAATCCATAAATTTTAAACTTACGTTTCATAATAATTTTTTTGGTGAGAGCAGCACACCACATAGAAGAGATGGTCAAAATATAAAAGTCAACTTCCAAGAAATTTCCTTTTTTGCTCTGTTAAATTGTTTTTCTGCACGTCAGTCGAACATTTTGAGAACGAAAGCTCTAAAATCCAATCACTGTAGCTTCTATCTATATACATACATATACATATATATATATATATATAGAGAGAGAGAGAGAGAGAGTGAAATATATACAGTGAGAGAGAGTACACGTAAATGAATGTGGTCCGTGTATGGAACGAAGGATACAAGGGAGAACACCGTGCTATCTTTCACCTTCAACTAACGCCGTATTTTTTCCCTTCTTTGACTCTCTTCTTTGCTACCACTTTTAGCTAAATTTATATATACTTTTCTGGGGTTGCGTTCTTTTTCCAACTTAATGGCTTCTGAAGAACAACCATCGTCGTCTGAATTTAGCTTGGAAGGGATTCAAGATGTCCAGGACTTCGTTTGGGTGAGTTTTAGGTTTCTTTCTTTCCCAAGTTGCTTAAGTTACGACTAAATGCAGGAAAAGTGTTCAAGTATCGTTGATTTCAGCGCAACCATAGTTTTATGCGATTCCTATGAAGAATTTTGCACTTCCACTTTAGCTCAGCTTCACAATCGATAATGGGTTCCACTTCTTTGTGTAAACTTTTTGCTGATTATCACAATGTTGATGGTAGATTGGGGAAGTAGCAGAAATTGATATCAAAATGCGAAGTGAAGTTGTTTTTTGCCCTAATGGAGGGAATGGAATTGTATGATTGATTACATTTTTTAGCTTGATATTAGTAAGAAATATGTATGGAACTTTGAGATTTCTGTTTTTTTTTGTTATTTGAACTTCTGGGATTTGAATAGAGATTGTGTTATTGGAAATAATTCAGGAAGATCAAGGAGAGTCGTTGGACACAAGGCGATCTAGTCATCTTCTTGATCTAATGACTTCTGGGAACAGAGCATTCCGAGAGGATCGTTATGAGGAGGTAAATCGTTAGACTACTTGCTTTATATATGATTCTTTTGATTGTTGTTATCATTGAAATCGACCGTTAGAAGCTTAATGAATCTTCCACTTGTTTGATGGGCTGGTTAAGAGATTATTTATGGTTAAACTCGGGTATTCCATGGATGATGGATGGATTGTATCTTTTAACAAAGGTCATTAACTTCAGGATTGTAGAATTTCTGGTGCTTTTAAGTTTACTGGAAATCTAGTTGTAATTCTTGTGTAGGTTTACTAATCTAGCTTATGCATTCGGTGGTGTTGCATATATTTTCTGGACCTATTGAACCATCGCGTGTCAGAATTGGGCAAAAGGGTTATTTTCTGGTGGGAAAAGTCGAATGGATGGTTGTTTTCGAAGTTTCAGTAGATTACAAGAAAGCATTAATATTTTTTTAATTTTTATATTTGAATATCGAAATCACACCAAGTATTTTAATATCGAAATTACACCTCCATCTATAGCTAATGAAAAATGTTTTATTAATCAGGCTGTCAATTGTTATTCGAGAGCTCATAATATCAAACCAGATGATCCCGTCATCCTTAGCAACCGATGTGCTGCTTATCTCAGGTGAATTTTTGTCAGTTTTCCAATTCTAATTCCTGAAATTGATGAATCACAAATGCATTTATGCTATCCCACCAGGAATATTGCCCTGGGTGTGTGCGCGTGTGTGTATAGATATACATATATAAATATAGACACAGGTTTAAGGGAAAACCACAAGAAATAGAAAACTAAGGAACATCTTAATAACCATTTATTCGTCCGGTATGCACATGTACATAAAAGTTATTGAAAATGTTTCCTGGTTTTTCATGCATGTGTGCATTTTACGCACATGTGCATAGCAGACAAATTACTTTTATGCACGCATTCATACCAGACAAATGAATGGTTATCAGGGTGTTTCTCAGTTTCCCATTTTTGTGGTTTTCCCCTGAACTCAACCCTATATATACATATTATTCTTTTCACATCCACTGGCAATAAGGATCTCTTTGATAATGTTAACCAGGATTGGCCAGTTCCTGAAACAGAGACCAGCTTCTGCATCTGAGCGTAGACCATTGAGCGGGCTTGATCCTACAACCCATGCTAGCGTATGTGATCTTTATTTTCAAGCTCGTCTTTATTGTTGCTGCCTTTGTTTGTGACTACAAAATGTTTTAATCCCTCAACTTCGCTTACTCAGCTTGCATTGAAGGATGCCGAGCAGCTTATGAACATACAAAATAATTCCGTAATGGCATATATACTGAAGGCAAATGCGCTCATTTTGGTGAGATTCTGCTTCCTGTTTTTTTCTTTTCCTTTCCTTTTTTTCTTTTCTTTTCTTTTCTCCCCAAATTCGTGAACACAGCGTAAGGGTAGAATTGGAAAGTAGACATTTACTTTTGAAAGTAAACGCTATTTTTGGGTGGAGGGAGTATATAAATTATCTATTGCATATTCATGTCACTCATCTTGATAACATTGTTTTGACAGTTAGAAAGGTTTGAGCTAGCCCGTGATGTAACTCTTGCAGGTCTTCAGGTTGATGCTTCAAGGTATAATTTATTACAATAATCTCGGCCATATATTTTTTCTCTGGTCCTTTATTTCACTTATTTTCTTTTATTATTTAATATCTTTCTAAATATTTTAATTTCTATCATTTCTTTTTCGTTAAATGCGTCGCATTTTCTCTTTGTTGCCTTTACTGTGCAGTAAAACATACATAAGAATATGCTTTTCTGTTTCTGGTGTCATGTAGCAATGCTCTAAAGAAGTTAGAAAGATATACAGCGAATATATTTGGAAAGAAAATGCATAGTCAGACCCCACGTACAGATGACTTTGATTGCACTCTTTGCTTGAAGTTACTGTACGAACCAATTACAACTCCATGCGGTCATACTTTTTGTCGTTCATGCCTTTTCCAGTCAATGGATCGCGGTGGGTTTCCTTTTTGTTCTTTTGCAGTTGTTGCTTTTCCACATTTTCGTTCACTAATTTTCTATGTGGACCTTTGAATATTTTCTAGGAAACAGATGCCCATTGTGCCGAACAGTTCTGTTTATCAGTCCTAGAACTTGTGCAATCAGGTGAGTTGATTCCGTTCTTAATAGCAGATAAATATGCTTTTCCAACCATCTTAAGCAGCAGACTGCAGTTGGTGCTGGGAGAATTGTCATGACTTGCCTTATCCAAGACCATGTCTCTCCTTTTAGCTATATTTTCCTATTCTGTTACTTCACTTTCTCCAGGAGCAACTATATTTTGGATGACTAGAAAGCTAGTTACTCCTCCGTGGGGCAGGTTCCGTAGGAACCTAAAATCGATTAAGAACCGGGGAACCGCCCACAACGCGACATGTGGCATATCCATTAGGAATATGGACTTGTTATTCGTCATAAATGTTGTAACATTTCATCATGAATATATGATTCATGATGAATAACATGTCCATATTCATTATGAATGTGTGTGTGATTCATGATGAATACTGAAGAGGGATAAGTGGTACACTGTGGGCAGTCCCGGGTTCCTAATCAATTTTGGGTTCCTAACAGAACTTCCCTCCTCCATCCGTCCCAAAATAAAGGTCCATAATGAAAAAGGCATGCAGTTTTAGAAATGTGTAATTATTACACTTTTTAATTTACTAAATTACAATTTTATCCTCAATAGATGAGGGCGTAATGAGTTTCTCCAACTCATAATTAAGGGTAGAATTGGAAAGTAACCACTTACTTTTGAAAGTAGACACTTATTTTGGGACAAACCAACATAGAAATGCGGACACTGTTTTGGAATGGGGGAGTAATATTCAAGAAACATTAGAATCTTATAACGTTGTAACGCTAGTTCGTAATTATAAGCCTTTTTTTCCATAAATACATTGATTTGGGAGATATTGGGTGTATATAAATATATCAACCCAATGAAATTAGATATATAACAGTATCCACATCTTGTAGATGAAAGGTACTCGTTATACTTTAGCCAAGGACGTTGGTCCACTCCCGAATCTAATTTATGATATGTTGGATTAATAGTGGACGAATGTTGATTATTCACCGAACTGAACTTATAATTGTCATGGTTTTATAGGCAAGAAGATGTATTTACTTGCTGACATGAGACTGCCATTTGAATATAAGTACTCTGTTGTTTTCTTTTTGTTTTCTCAGCGTGACACTGAAAAATATAATAGAGAGGAACTTCCCAGTGGAATATGCAGAAAGGAAATTGGAGCATGACAGTTTGACCAATATGGGTCCTGATCTGTTACCACTTTTCGTCATGGATGTCGTGCTACCTTGCCAGAAGTTCCATCTGAACATTTTTGAAGCCCGTTACAGACTTATGGTGAGTTATTGAATCCATCCTATCTTCACATCTGCTTGCTAAATAGCCGTTAGTGTCGAGCTGCATCAGGGAACCTATTTGAATCATTTTGAGGTTGGCATCAAAGAACAATGCTAACGTATTTGAACAAGATAGAAGGGGGGCTGTTTGCTTTTTTATCCATTAAGCCTGTATGGGTTAACTTGTCTGTCTAAGGGATGGGAGGCCGATGGGTTTGGGGGAGGCAAAGAGAGAGGGTTGGATTATTTATGGGGCATTTTTGGTATTAATTTGTTTGAGGTGGCTTAATGGGGATAATTGAGGGGTCCTGACTTATTCCATATAGTCATTTTCGCTTAATGGCTTCATGATTAAGTCATAAAGAAACACTCCTATTATGGCCGAGCGAATAAGCCACACAGACCATTAAGCTCATTAAACTGTAAGTAAACAACACCGAAGTTGATTCCATTAATCAAATTTCCTTCTTATGAATACATCATGCAAACTTTTAAGATTTAAATCTGATATGGTAGTAGTGTTTCTGTTGGAAAATCTTTGTTATAAGAGACAAGTATATAACAAAGTGACGTCAAAATTAACATGAACCTGTTAGTTTTCAATGTTAGTAACAGGATTTTGATCTTTATGGCTAAATGACAGGTCAGGAGAATCATGGAAGGAAATCGGCGAATGGGAATGGTAGATATTTTGCGTATTCTTTTTATGTCCATTCATTAAGGTGGAATCAAGACTCATTGTTCTTGGCTCTGGTTTGTGTTTGCATAATGTAGGTTATACTTGACTCGACAACAGGATCTGTAGCTGAATATGCATGTGAAGTTGAAATTACAGAGTACGTTTTAACCATGTATTTTGTTACATGGTATATCTTATACACAAGTTTTTCTGGTAACTGGGCCGGCTTGCACCCACCTCGGGTAATCTCGTGGGGCCTTGAAGTTGACAGAAAGGAAAATCCCTGGTGGCCTGAGGAGACTCAAACTTAGGGGTGTTCATTTAAACAGCACAAACCGCCCACACCACACCGCAACACATGGTTTAGAATTTTTGCTATGCGGTTTGCATTTTCATCGAACTGCACTTTGGGTGCAGTTTGTGCTTTTGAATGATTAAACTGCGGTTCAAACCACGCCACACTGCATATTTTTTGAATAAATATATCTTTATATATTATATAATCATTTATCAAATGAAAATAGTTAATACATTACTGAATATCAATTAATTTTTCAGTTTTCTTTTCTTAAGTGTAAGTTTTACATTACAGATTCCTTAATTGAGTTGTTTTCTTTTGTCTTTTGTCAAACATCATGGTTGAATTTACTTTGAAGTTAACTTTTCATATGTATTTGGATTTATTACCGAATACTTTAGTTTGTGTTACACTATTTCTAATTACGTATTTTGTACGTATTGGAATTTTTGTCGTATAGAATATGGAAACGTAGTCATGGAATTTATTTTGAAGTTGTGATTTTATAGTTATTGGATTGAAGTGTGTCAAGTACGTACCGCATAAACCGCACTGTGCGGTTTTTTGCAGTTCGAGGCATATGCGGTGCGGTTTGGGAAAATCTCCAAACCACATATGCTGTGTGGTTTGCAGTTTGGCCCTAAACCGCACCGCAAACACCACTACTCGAACTGGCAACCTATGGGAGGCTCCCCGAGGCCTAGCCTTTATTTGCCAACCCCTCAAGGTCACACACACAAGTTCATGTCAAGCTAATACGTAGACACGTTGTAATTAGTAATCTGTTTTGAATCTTGCAGTTGTGAGCCACTCCCAGATGGCCGCTTTTTCTTGGAGGTGAGATGATCCATTTCCTTTTTCTATACCTTCTGTATGATCGATATATGCTGAGAAAACTTAACGTCTTTTTCATTCAGTTAAATGTCGTAAACAACTTTCAAATGAAGCGTAAAAGATGCACTTTTTTCTTCCTTTGTTGAAGCTCCAACTGTTATCTCACCTTAAAAAGATCAAATCCATGCAGGTTGAAAGTCGGAGAAGATGCCGCATCCTTCGAAACTGGGATCAAGACGGGTTAGCATTAGCATAATTCTTGTTGATAGTTTGCCATGACTGCTTTGCATTCTTTATATTAAAAAGGGAAAAGTACAATAAAAACCAATGAACWTTCTTGTTTGGAATGATTAAGTCCTTGAACTTTTTTTTGGAACAAATAAGTCCTTAAACTTTCCAAAACATGTTAAATAAGTCCTTGAACATTCCAAAAAATGTTAAATAAGTCCTTGGACAATTTTTGGAACAAATAAGTCCTTGAACATTTCAAAAAATGTTAAATAAGTCATTGGATAATTTTTGGAACAAATAAGTTCTTGAACAATCCAAAACATGTTAAATAACTTTTTGAAAAAAATAAAGTGGTAAAATAGTGAAAAAAATCCGGAAAAAACCCAATGAACATTCATATTTTGAACGATTAAGCCCCTAAATATTTTTTGAACCAAAAAGTATTTAGATCTATAAAATTAAATAAATATAACAAAAAAATACTTACATTTACAAAAAAATAATTACCATTTTAACTAGTTGTACAAGTCATTAGAATGTATCCAACATGTTTTATAAAAGTTCAAGAAGTTATTTAACATGTTTTGGATTGTTCAAGRACTTATTTGTTCCAAAAATAGTCCAAGGACTTATTTAAAAATTTTTGGAATGTTTAAGGACTTATTTAATATATTTTGGAATGTCCAAGGACTTATTTGTGCCAAAAAATTGTCCAAGGACTTATTTAACATGTTTTGGAAAGTTCAAGGACTTATTTGTTCCAAAAAAAAGTTCAAGGACTTAATCATTCCAAACAAGAAAGTTCATTGGTTTTTATTGTACTTTTCCCTATTAAAAATTGGTTTTTACGTTCTTTTTCGTCTATGAAGGTACCGTGTTGCTGAGATTGAATGGGTGAAGGATTTGTCTCCTTCAGAAGGAACAAAAGAGAAATCCGATGTAATTTACTTTGATCTCAACCTATACTTTCACCTGCCATTTATTCATAAATTGTTCTAATGACGAGAATACTCCGCTCCTATGAGTCGTCCGGCAGAAAAGACTTTCTGAATTTCATCCTATAATAAATAAGGACATTTACACCGGTCCTGAACAACACAGCAAGAAGGTGAACATCCTCGTACCGGGCTTGGACCATGTCTCCCGAACAATCTCAGTACTACAGGGAGAAAGAAAGCCTATTGAATAGGGATTAAAGAACTTGGGGTCGCCGATCTCTTCCTCCAACCCATCCGAATCTTGGGTCCGGGCATCTCTATTTCATGGGCCCTGCTCTTTCTAATAAAAAAAGAGGGGTGAAGAGCCCGTTAAACTTATGACCCAAACGTGGGTGGGATTTTTTCTAAGGAAAAAGTATGCCCTAATTCCTATCTCGGTAGTTTCATCTTCTTTGGGAGCTGAGAATGCTATAATAACATCTTTGGGGTAGAGGTCAGATTTGCGTACTTCTTACCCCTTGGACCCTACTTTTAAGTGGGATTTACTGGTATGTTTAGTTTGGTTTTGTGTTGGTAGGGTACTTAGGGTCTGTTCATTAGCAGCTTAATGAGCCTAATGGGACTCGTAGCTTAGTCGTTCTGTTTGATAGTGGCTTAATGATATAAAATGTGACTTATTCAGTAAGCTTCTAGGATGGAACTATATGCAGTTCACAAGTTTTTTCCGAACTTGCCCCATCCCACTAAAAAACACGCTCTTTTCATCTATGAAAAAACCCTTCCAAACAACCACCTCTCCAATCTATGCAGACCGATTAATCTCTTAATGGAAAACGAACAAAACAACCCCTTAATATCTTGGCAACTAACAATCCAAGGCCAAAAAGATTGAGGGTATAATGGGAATATGCAATAGCCAAAAAGCTTTAATTTTAGGTGTCTCAATTATTAGCCTAGCTTTGAACTTCCATTTGATTTGGATCATTGTCTTCCTTCACACGTCTTATGGTGTAGAGTACAGTTTTTATTGGTAACCGTGGGAATCTGGGCCGACTTGGGTGCGCATCAACTAATCCCATGGGGCCCTGAAGATAATAGTAAGGAAAATCCCAAGTGACCCTGAAGAGATTCAAACTGGCGACGTATGGGAGGATCCCCAAGGCCTAGTCTTTATTTGCCAGTTGAGCTAACCCTCAAGGTTATAGTATACCCGAATACATTACACACCATTCGTAATCCATCTGTTGCATTGATGTGCATATCATATGGTGATTACGTAATCAAGTGCACTTGAGTAAAATTGTTGGCTTTTGTATATTTAATATTTCTTCCTTTGCCTTGGAAGACAACCGTTTAAATCTTGGTGATTCTTGATGCTTACAGCTGCAGGATATGACTGATAAAGTGGCAGAATATGCTCGATCATGGATAAAAGTAGCTCAAGAAGCAGCACGAGGAGGTAAAAATCATATAATCTTGTTTCGCTTTCCAGATGATAACTTCAGCCATGTTTGACAACCATAATAAATTAGCTTATTTTTTGAGCTTATTGGAAAAGCCCTGTTGGTTAGTCATAAGCAAGTTGATAGTGTTTCAATAAGCCCCAACCTCTTTTTTCCACTCTTTTCCAATCACATCCCTTATATTTTCCAACATGTCCTTTTAGGTCATTCTACATTGTCAGTGTCATCTAGCTTATCAAGCTAAACACCTTTATGAATCTGACTAGTAGCTTCCATGCAGATCAAATGAGGCTTACGGAACTGCATAAAGCAGAAGGTTTGATGCCCTCAACACGAGATTTCGAAAGCTTCAGTTTTTGGGTATGCATTGTTATATGACATCCTGTCTTTTGCAGCATGATATCTTTATAATTTTAATCGATTGAATCTTTGTCAACAATTGCTGATACAACCACATGGATGCAGCTTGCAACATTAACAAATCGTAGACCACAAGAACGGCTAGACCTCCTTCGCATTAGAGATACAACTGCGGTACTTGACTTCACACATATCTTTACTTTTATACAACATGCCGAATCAATTGTTGTCATATTGCCATAGTGAGGATGCGTTTGGCATGTGGGATGGAACAGATAAAAAAAACTTGTTGACCCATGTTTGGTGCGACATTAGACTGAGGTAGATCGGGACTGAGTGGGACAAAAGTGAGTAAGATGAACAAGATTGGTAAATTACTAAACTAACTATATCAAATTAAAACGCAAAAACCTTCCGCAACTCTTTCACCCCATCTATCTCACTCTTGCCCATCTGGTCCAGTTCTGTCTGCATAAGAAATGCTCCCTTAATGATTATTCACTTACACTTCAACCAAAATGACGAGTTACAACAATATGCTCTTTTACTTCAATATATATTCAGGGAAAAATGGAAATCATGGCTTTTACATTTAAGAAAATTTGTCACTCACATACTTATTAGTGTCTACGATGAAAACGGCACACAGTTTTAGTGAAGTGTAATTATTACACTTTTATGAACTAAATGATAGTTTTACCCTTGATAACACCGTGAGTAATTAATTTCTTCATCTCATAATTAATGGTAGAATGAGAAAGTTTGAAAGTGGACATTTATTTTGGGATTAGCTGAAATAGAAACTTGGACACTTATTTTTTCCATCCAATTTCAAACATAAATGGTTAATTTGGGACTAGGGGATGTGAAGAATAATACATAGCACATGCTAAGAGTTGAGATGCCTGCTTAAGAATAGTGTCTCAGATGATATAGTCATATAGATCATAAATTAACCAAATCAAAACAAGCCCGGTATATCCCACGTGAAAGCGGGGTCTGAGGGAGATAAGATGTACGTAGACTTGACCCCTACTCTAAAGAGTAGAGCGACTGATTAAGACCTCCGGCTTGTGCACAACGTACAAAATAGGATAGAGTTTCTAACAAACAAGAATGTCGATGCCAGAGTTGTTAAAAGCGCGCCTCAAGCGCTCCTAGGCTCTGAGGTGCATAAAGCTCAAGGTTTTGGGGCTTTTTTAAAGTTGGGTCGAGGCTTATTCATGATACTCACAAAGGCGATGCGCCTTTTGGGACTAGGCGCACCTCATAAAGGTTATTAAATACCGAGTCAAACCCTAATATTAAGCAAGTGTTCTCATTTTCTAATCTCCTAGACTTTTGAAATTTTTTTGTTAAATAGATGATGTAAGTCAAACCCTAATATCAAATACCCAGTCCTTAAAACTTCAAGCCTGCTTCTCAATAAATACAATGCTTTAAACCCTTTCTCCCTTCTACCTCTATCAGAGTGTCTGATAGTTGTTGCATTAGAGGCTTGTACCTGCTCCTAAACCCTATTTGAGTTGTTTGTAACTATATATATATAGAGAGAGAGAGAGAGAGGAGCGATCAAATGCAAACCACCCAATTTGTACAAACCGTGCAAACCATCCTCATCCGTCGATTTCATTGTTTGATCTTATGAAAAAATTTCATGAAATTGTTATGATATAATACTTAATGAAATTGTTATGAAATTGTTTCATATAATACTTAATGAAATTTTAATGAAACTGTTTCATGTATTTCTCTAAAA